GAATCCCACTTCCTAGAGCATGAACTAAGCTTAGTTCCTAAACACATGATTACAAACTCCCTGCTCCCAGGCAGACATCTGACAGTGACTGCTGTGAGGGTCTGCAGTGTTGGCTGAGCTGTAAGCACTAAAGAACTTAATTCTGTAGCCTAGTAAAGATGTCATGTCACCTGAGATGAACCAGGAAATGTTGTCCAGGAAATGTTGTCCACATGCAAAAGTCAGTGCAAGTCCCAGTCTCACAGAGAAATCTAAAGTACCAGAATATGCTGTTCTTGGAAAGATGGAGATCATAGAATAGTTAGGGTTGGAAGGGACCTTAAGATCACCTAGTTCCACCCCCCTATGTCAGATGTCAGATATAACAAGCAGCGATTTTCTTCTGGCTTTCCTAAGCATCGTCACATGAGGTACTTTCTGTTCTGAACCCAGTACAGACCACCTAACAACCTTGCCTGCACCAGCTGCAGCTTCATTTCTTAGCTTTCAAAAACTTGAAGAGGATATTCCCTCCAATATCCTCTCCAGCACTCACCCAGGGCCAACCACTTGACACACACCATTATTCCCCCAGAACTTCTTGCAGAGCTCCCTCTGTGGTCACCTGCAGGTTCATTTTGAAATAAATGGTTTCAGAGATTTATCATGTGAGCAGCCACAACGACAGGTTGGAGCAGATGGCAATTTCTGTTTGTGGACAGGAGAAAATGGGGTAAATTAGGGGGTGAGGTTGATTAGGCAATGAAACCTCTGCAGTCATCGTAAAAAAATACACGACCAAGACCTCTACCTCCCAGCTCAGGCTTAGGAATTGTCCTCCACGAGACCATGTCTTAATTTAGAGTTGAAAATGTTCAGTGTGCTCTTAATGAAAGTTCTTTATAGGGATCTTAGCTTTTTTTACACTTCTGCTCACCAGCTATAGCATACAGACAGCATAGAAGGCATCCAGATCATATAGGAGCCATATAAAGTATATTTGTTATTTGTTTCTGCCCAGTGTATGTACATCAGACAACACTTCTGCTCATTCATAAACCACTGTTTGCAAAAGATCCACTGTCCACAGAAGACCTCTAATTAACTGTTCATCCAGAAGCCAATTCATCTTGGTGATCATATCCAGCACAGAAAAGGCGTGTAAAATTGTAAGGGTGTCAGAGATGAGCAAACTTCAGCCGCTCACTATCCCCAGAGCAGCTACATGGTGATGTGCCGTTTCTGCTACAAATCAGCTCCTGTGAGACAAGAAAAGCCTTTTTTCCCCCCAGGAAAAGCTCCCTTCACAAACAGCCACAAACTACTGGTGCCCTCCAGCTAGGCAGCCTCACCCCTAGATTTTAAGGCTCACTCACCAGAAGGGACAGTCTGCAGCCAGCTGGAAACAAAGATGTGGCCCCTGAGAGATGGAGTCGCCTGCCCACAGATGGAAAAGCAAAGAGGCAGCACCCAGCAGATGGTGGGGGCAAAGGTGGGCAACAGGGGATGGCCACATCCTCCCTTTCTAGCTGCAGCTTTCAGTAAGAACAAGAAAGAATCGCATTTGACTTTCAGCCTTGGAAACACATTACAAAAATCAACAATGCGCTCCAAGAGCTTCCCACTTACAGAAAGCTTTGCCAGACAGTCATAGTGAGAGGCCACAGCACTTCAATGCTTCTCGCTCTTGTCCTAATACAATTAATACAAGTCCAATGCAAATAAACTTCAAGGAATCCTTTACTGAATTTCCCCTTTACTCTGCTCCATGTTCTCACACCATGACCAAAAATGCAGTGATCAGGCAGAACCAAAACCATCTTAATTTCTGAGTAACTGCTGATTAAATGTTCCCAGTAACCCACCAAGAAAAAGAACTCTCTCTCCATCCTTAGATATTTGAATGGCTTGAATATAAACACAGTTTCCGTGTCTGAGAAATCAAGCTTGCAGCTGAGCTGGATCACCAGACTGAAATTGAGCTGCTGTGGCACCCTGGTGAACCTGACCCATCATCTGTAATAAGATCCTCTAGCTCTTTTGTTGCCTTCTTCTCCTCTCACCCCCTATTCTTTTTAAGAGCTGCTTACTTCACAAATCATAACTTTTTCTCTTAAGAACTTCCCACGCTACGTTGATCTTTACAAAGGCAGATAGGTTATCATAGAATCATAGAATACCAGGTTGGAATGGACGTCAAGGATCATCAGGTCCAACCTTTGTAGGTAAGCATGACCTAAACTAGATATCCCAGCACCCTGTCCAGCTGAATCTTAAAAGTGGAATCCACCACTTCCCTGGAGAGATTATTTCTATGGCTGGTTGTTCTCACTGAAACTAGAAGCAATTCACCTCTAGTGTCAAAACAGAATCTCCCAGGAATAACTTGTACCCATATGCCTCTTTTCCATGTGACTACCTCTAAAAAGGAGTCTCCATCTTCTTTGTAGCCAGCCTTTAAATACTGGAACATTGTTATAAGGTCTCATTTAGCCTTAAGTGCATGAAACATATTGCATGAAATACAACAGCGACTACAGTTTGAGAGATCTTTAACATGGGTACAAGTCAGTTCAGCTTCCTTTGTGGCATGACATTTCCCCTAGTGGTGCCTAACTCTTACCCAGTAAAGGTTTAATAGTTTATTGCATATAAAAGCAAGACAAAAATTATACAACCACTCATCCTTTTTTCTTCCCCTCTTTCAACAGCAAAAGAGACAACAGGGAGCTGAATTGCTATAGGGCAACTGTCCCCCACTGGATTGGTACCACTGCCATCTGCGCTAGGGCTGACAAGGTGGGGCACACAGGTAAATTTCCTTCCCATGGAAACTAGTGTATTTGGGAAAGGCAAGACAGATTGACACATACCTGGATTTAACCCGCAGTGGAGTCAAGGTACAAGCAGAACTTCCACTGTGTAGTCCTACCTTAGTTTCCTCTTAAGGTTTAAATTCAGTCTTTAAAATTTATAATAAATAATAATAAATAAAAAAGTCAGTTTCTTCTCATATCCCTACTTCTGCTAGCCAATCCCAATGGAGTGAGGAAAAAAAAGAAAAAAAAAAGGAAAGATCTGCAGAAAGCTATTTCTCCCTATTATTTTATAGGGCCTTTATTTATGCCAAACCCCATGCAATTATTCAAATATATATATGTACATAAATATGTCATATATATCTATATGCAAATGAATTCAGTATTCTATGGTTCACCAATATCCTGACTGATAGGATCAAAGATGTAGACTGGCAAAAGACAACATTCCTAGCTAAATGTAATAGGCCAAGGTTGCTGAAATATTCAATTTTCTGCACTAGCCCTTCCTGTTCTCTTTATTTGCAAGAAAAACGTACTGCAAAAAAGATGGACTTATGTGAGTTCTTCCTGAATTCTACCTGAAAGCCACCTGACCTGCTGGGAATACAGTTATACTAACAGATGTGGAGTTTCTTGATTTAATCAGACTTTAAGAGAAAGGTCTACATTGTGGAAATTTTTCATGCATTATCTGGCTTTAATTAGGAGCTCTAATATCCTTCAGCTTTAGGGCTAAATTAAAAAGCTGTTACTAAGATATTAGAGAGTGTTTTCACAAATCAGAAATGCAACCCAAAAAATGCAAACAGGAATTACTAAAGACTACAGAAAAAATTATTATAGAATAATAGAATCATAGAATAGCTGGGGTTGGAAAGGACCTTAAGATCATCTAGTTCCAACCCCCCTGCCATGGGCAGGGACACCTTATGCTAAATCATATCACCCAAGGCCTCGTCCAACCTGGTCTTGAACACTGCCAGGGATGGAGCATTCACAACTTCCCTGGGCAACCCATTCCAGTGCCTCACCACCCTAACAGGAAAGAATTTCCTCCTTATATCCAATCTAAACTTCCCCTGTTTAGGTTTGAACCTGTTACCCCTTGTCCTGTCACTACAGTCCCTAATGGAGAGTCCCTCCCCAGCATCCCTATAGGCCCCCTTCAGATACTGGAAGGCTGCTGAGGTCTCCACGCAGCCTTCTCTTCTCCAGGCTGAACAGCACGAACTTTCTCAGCCTGTCTTCATACGGGAGGTGCTCCAGTCCCCTGATCATCCTCGTGGCCCTTCTCTGGACTTGTTCCAACAGTTCCATGTCCTTTTTATGTTGAGGACACCAGAACTGCAGACAATGCTCCAGGTGAGGTCTCACAAGAGCAAAGTAGAGGGGCAGGATCACCTCCTTTGACCTACTGGTCACGCTCCTTTTGATGCAGCCCAGGATACGGTTGGCTTTCTGGGCTGCAAGTGCACACTGAAGCCGTCCCATGTTCATTTTCTCATCAACCAACACCCCAAGTCCTTCTCCACAGGGCTGCTCTGAATCTCTTCTCTGCCCAACCTGTAGCTGTGCCTGGGATTGCTCCGTCCCAGGTGTAGGACCTTGCACTTGGCATGGTTAAACTTCATGAGGTTGGCATCAGCCCACCTCACAAGCATTTCAAGGTCTCTCTGGATGGCATTCCTTCCCTCCAGCGTATCAACTGAACCAAACTTGCTGAGGGCGCACTCAATCCCACTGTCCATGTCACCAACAAAGATGTTGAACAAGACCAGTCCCAACACCGATCCCTGAGGGACACCACTCATTACTGGTCTCCAGCCGAACATTGAGCCATTGACCACAACTGTTTGTGTGTGGCCATCCAGCCAGTTCTTTATCCACCAAGTGGTCCATCCATCAAATTGATGTCGCTGCAATTTAGAGACAAGGATGTTGTGTGGGACAGTGTCGAACGCTTTACAGAAGTCCAGGTAGATGACATCAACTGCTCTACCCCTGTCCATCAGTTCTGTAGCCCCATCATAGAAGGCCACCAAATTGGTCAGGCAGGATTTCCCCTTAGTGAAGCCATGCTGGCTGTCACCAAGCACCTTGTTGATTTTGATGTGCCTTAGCATGCCTTCCAGGAGAATCTGCTCCAAGATTTTGCCAGGCACAGAGGTGAGACTGACTGCTCTGTAATTCCCTGGGAACTTGGTTTTGTTCTGACTCATGCAAATATCAGTCCTGAGAATGGAAATGAGTTACCATGGGCTGAGCATCAGATCTGATCCCCAAATCTCCTTTGCATGTAAAAGCTTTTTGTAGCACACGATGAGCAATAGATGGGAAGCGACAGGCTTCCAGAGCAAACCCTCTGCGCTTTCTACAAATGTCTAATCTCTAGAAGAAACTGGAGTGGACATTGGCATCATTTACTTTAAAGACACTGAGGTTTTGATTGTCAGATTTCAGTTCCTCCCCCAAATTATATTACAGTGCATTTGTAGCCTCAAGTACACCATGAGTTTCCTTTTAAATTTTATCTATCTTTCACAAGATAGATAGTGCTTTAAAAAGCACTATGCACCTTGCAGGTTACTACTTCTACTTACCTCATTTACATGCTATACCTAAGAAACAATTCTGTTAAAACTGCAGAGAAAAAAGGCAGCTTCGCTGTTAAAATGAGATATTTTTGCTTTGGTACTGGGGAGTTCAAGTGTTGAAAAAAAGAACTGGGCAAATATTGCCTAAATATGTTAATAAACGCTCATTTGATGCGAGCTATTGGTCCTAGCCAATATTTTTCTGTGCTGTTTCAAGCAAGTTCTCTGTAAGTGAAAGGGTCTGAATGGGAAGCTGGCACAGTGAGCATCTGTCAGCATGAAGCACACCGTCATCCAGCTTCTTTCCAAGTGGCCTGGTCACCCATTCAAGTACAGATAGTGCCATTTGACTCATGCGGGTGCATGGATGACAAACAGCAGATCACAGGTGATTCAACACTAGTCAACTCTTCAGATGTGGTCTGTAAGCACATTGCTACTGATCACCCTCAATTTTAAAATCCCCCAAATCATTACAGAACAAGGGGCTGTATTAATTATTCTGTATGAGTCACTCAGCAAGCTCAGACTCCCAAAGGACCTCAGTTGTCACGACACCAATATATGAACCATCTGGCCTGTCACTGTACATCTCCTAGCTGGTTTCTGTAAATGACTGTATTTAAAGAACTTGAAGGACCTTGTTTGATGGTGCAGTGTACCATCTAATCTTTTTGTACATCAATTAGCACATAATTATTTGACATAATCTGACTATCACTTTTCATTTGCTTGTTCAGTAGTGGAAATAAATGGAGCAGGACAGAGGCTTGAAAAAGCTGACCTACTCCAAATGGATTTCTGTTAATCTATTAGCGTTCCTCCACTTTAGTGTCTAAAACCTCACAATTTTCCTTAGTAGAAATGAAAAGGAACAGAAACATCTGGCCAAAAAACTGTGGTATCTGCACATACTTAAAAGATGCTTTGTAGTAGTAAGAATGAATGTCTTAAAACATCAAAAACACAAGGGGCTACAGGGTTTTAACTGAAATTGTGACTTCTGAAGCAAAGTTACAAAATGCCAGCACAACATCCATTTGCTTGAGGAATTAATTCTTTGAGTCCATTCTGCATTACAGTGCTTCAGTGCAGGTAATACGTCTGTATTTGTTCCCCTATTTACACCTGTGTGTATCTGCAGCCCTTGTTCAGGAAACTGTTAATTCTAGCAGGAGGAAGAATGGGGCCAAATAACCTAATTAGCTTAAAATGAAGCCTAATAGTTTAAAGTAAACCACACTTGTTTTTCTTTGAAAAGGGAAAGGACCAAGAAAGGCTTAATTTCATGGTAAGTTACTATGGTCCCAATCACAAAGGAGATAGCTGCACTAGGATAACAAAGACTTATTATCTTATCGCAGGATATTATTATTAATAGTCTCACTATTAGCACACTTCATGCATTATGATCTGACCCAAAGCCTGAACTACCAGGCTCTGCATTTTACTGTCATCAAGATAAAGCTCAAAAAACATTCTCACAAGTACTAATTCTTAAAGCATTTTATCAATATTGAAGTTTTACCATGTTAAATATTTACAAGTGGTTTTGCACATCAAATTATCTTATGATTTGAGAAGGCAGCTGATGACTGGGTATGAGGTATATCTGTCTTCAGAAGTGCTGCCCATGTATTAAGAAGAAGAGAAAGACACATGAAAGCAGAAGCCCAGATTTTGGAACCTCACTGGAGTCTTCTCTGCTTAGAGAGTGTTCCAAAACATCACTTTCAGGGGCTATTTCCCTTGGCATCTGGTGTGTATTTTCTAAAGATATATTGGATGAAGACCAATTCAGTTACTGCTGTAAGCAATTACCCTGCTACCTTACTGAGCAAATGAGTTTCCTGCAATAAAGTGTGAGTGTGTGCATTAGTATTTCTTCAAAACCAGTCGTTTTGTTTCTAGCTTCCAAAAAGCAACATCAAAGTAGTAACATACTATGAACCAACCAGAGTAATCAATGGAGACAGAGGGAAAGCATAGGAACAACACCACATATTACTGTGTGTTAAAAATGTCCTTTTCTAATAAAAGTGATTAAACATAAAGACAGCTGTGAGATGTGAATAATGGCTGTTTTGCAAAAGTATTAACTCTGGTGGGATCCCAATATAAATCAGTGTTTTGGGGAATTTACAGCAATGCTGAGTTAAACTTCCCAGGGTTAACCAGCATTAGGGCACATACGCACCTGCACAGACACACTCTTCCCTCATCCCTCCCATAACATGGATCTATCAAAGGTTCATGCAGTCCCAACCACAGCTATTTCTAAGCCAGGCTATGAGGAAGCACTGTCACAGATGTGCTAGCGCAGGTGGCCTGGCACTGCATCCGCTTCTTCCTATTGTAGGTGTAAGGGTTTGGCAGCACAGGGTGCAGTCTGAATCACCCATGCCTTGAACTCAGGTGTTACTGTACCCACGATGCCCAAGTCGTCACTTAAAGAAAGTGGCCAGGAACATGTCCAGTAAACCTAATCAATTTAGGCTGCAGTTTGTTACTTAGGATGTTATTTTACAACCTACAGTAATACATTGAGTATCCTGCTGTATGTCAGTAGGACCATTTTATTGATTAAAAATACAAAGAAAATAATAATAATAAAAAATATATATCCCAGGACAATAAATAAACACTAACTGCAAAACTACCCCCCAGTTTTGGTAAAATAGCTTTCTAGGAAGTCCGTGACACCACATTTCCTTAAGTTCCAAAGGAAATACAAAAGGCAGATGTTCTTTCAGAACTTGCCACTGCACACTGAAGAAATGAGTTATACATAAAAGTGATTTAATGGTTGGTTTTACAGTCTCAGTTAAAAGAAAAGCATATCTTAAACATGCGGTAAAAAGAAAATGGGGAGGCAGCCCAGCTACTGAAAAATTCATAGGTTTCAGTGACCTCAAGTGTTCTAAGAAATTTGGATTATAAAAAGTATTATAGCCCTTTTTCATGTCAATTTTCAGTCATCTCAAACTAGTTGCTGGGCCATGTTAACTCGTAAAATGTCTTTGTTTTTTAAAATTATTAATACTTTTGTAGCAATGGGAAAATCACATAGCTAAGATGCTTTACCTTGCTTTATTTCTGCAGGTTTTATTCTTTCCCATGCAGCTGATTGCTCCCTACAGGATTTTGACCTTTATTACTTGCTGATAACACGTCTAACAAACAGGTTTTTGCTGTGGTAGCTGAGGTTGAGCCGTCTGTTTTTTCTCTAGAGAGCCATGCCTTATTCAGAATGGCATTTTTCTGTTTCATTCCCGCGGGAATCGCACCTGCATGCTGATTTCCTATTTGACAGCAAAATACATCATCACATTTCGACAACTGATCCCTCCCCTTCATGGCCCAGAAGGCACTATGCTGTGGCGGCACCAGTGCATCCTTCATCCTTGACAGAAGAGGGGTTTCCTTGTGGATCATGGGCAGGTTGCAGTCAGCCTTCAGATATGAGCTGGAGGAGACAGCTGAAGGTATCTGAGGAGTAAAGAAGAGAACAACCTCAAACATCCCAGTGTGCTTCTTTATGTTACGTGGGAACAGGCCAATCTCTTCATTATGGCTGATCTCAGCTGTAGCTTCCTGCATAATGGTATGGTAAACCTGGGTCATCCTCTTGTTGGGATTTAATTAAAGCCCATGTGATGTCTATAAAAAAGTAATTCCTGAGTCTACAAAGATCAGGTCAATTAAAAAGCTACTTACATTTTGCTGTCCATCATAATTTTCCTGTATGACAATATTTTCATTGATCTTATTTATATGTGACAGTGATAGAGAAAATGACCAGGAAGCTGGGTTTGGACTGTCACATATATCCCCTGGACTAAATAACATGTTATCAGAATTATGAGTTACCTCTTCATTCTATACTATATTATTTGACTGAAAGGAGACTTCAGTATCTTCCATGACTTTTTCAACTATTAATGCTAAAAGCAGTAACTATGTTTTCACTTGTTTTATTACATTTCTTTTAATCCAAGATTATATAGGAAAATTCAGTAGAGCAATATTTGTAACTACTCCAGCTGACTGGCTCCGGTAATTGCATACTTGAATTTCGTTTCCATACAATTATGGAGAGGTTATGTTGTCTCAGAGAGGGTGAAATCTCCTGTGCGTTTAGTTTAGCAGCAGACTGTCACAAATGCAATTGCAATTGATCAGCTCTGCTCTTAACAGGATTCCTGCAGTTAATAGAAATTACTATAAAGAGCTTCAGGGCATAGGAATAATTGGATCACTAAAAGAAAAAAGAGGAAAAAGAAAAGGTAGGACAAGATCAACATTACATCCAACAGTTTTCAAAGATAGCCTTACCAGAAAGTACACCTTGATGAAAGCAAAACCTTTTAATTATTTTTACAAGCCCCAAGCCATTCCTAAACAATGGGGAAGAAAATGAATTATGAATGCATTTGGAAATTAAAGCACGAAGCTTTTACTGTCATCAGCTTGTTTAAACTAACAATCAACTCTGCAGCTCTGGAAACAATCACTGAAATATATACATGATCCACAAAATGACTGCCAAATATAATAGATTTCACTAAACTAAAACCAATTTCTACTGACCTGGCAGTTTTTGCGATGGTTTTGTCTTAGCTCTCGATGCAAGGCTATGATCCTCTCTGGGCTTGTTAACTTTACAGAACCAGCATACACATCTGAAGTGAAATGAGAGCTGTGGATGCTATCCACCTCTTGCTGAGAGTTTGCAGGTATTGATCGTGTCATCCCATTCACTTTGACATATGTCTCGTGATCCTCTGGCTGTCCATGGGCCTGTGACTTATCTGTGGAAGAAGGCAGCATCTGCAAGAGAAAATAGCATTTTAAGAAATCCAAGTTAAGTGAAGCTCTCCAATGCTGTTTATTTTGGAATAGTAGAAGCCACTTGAATAAATTCATAGCAATAAGTGTTCATAGAGATTAAATATAAATAAACTACCAAAATAAGAAAAAAAAGATATTATACCATTTTTTTTAAATGTGAAGCATTCCTGCATCTGTCTAAAAAGGAATCCTGTATTCATCAACTCTTCCCCCACCAAAAAAAAAGATATCTCTAAGCCTTAACTACAGCTAAACTTTGCATCTGGATATTAAGAAAACTTAGATAAAAATATAGAAAAAAAATGTAATTTAAAAAATTGGCAAATTTTAGGTCTCCTCATGAAGAATCTCAAAATTTCTAACATGATTCTTTCACACATATATTCTCACATTCCACACTAAACAACAGATTTAGGTTTTTCTGCTTAGGAATGCTCAGGAAAGTGAAGCTGAATGGTCTTCAAAAGTATATTAATTCAACTGCATGAACTCTCATACACACCGTTCTATTCTGAATCAACATAATATTAAATTCAGTTGATCTTATTTCACCTCCAAAACAACTTTAGCACCACAACAAACATTATCCTTGAATAGCTTCATTGAACCCAAGCCAAATTTAGAGAGAAATGGCAGCTGTTTAATTAGGCAGCTTTTTATAGCAGTTGAAAGCAGGAAAAGAAGATCTACGTGAATGACTATCACAGGACAGTATCATTTTATCATCCTGTTACAAATTTATTAAAGCCATAGGATCAGTGTTACATTATTTTGCATGTAGGGTTACATAATTGCACAGAAAAACAAATTTAAGATTGTTAACTATAGTTTCAGCCTTTGGGGTTTTAAAAAGAGTTCTTTATTTCTTTTCCAAATTAATACATCTCGTTAGAGTTATCACCTCATTGCCATTAGTTCTCTTGCAAAAACTCCAAAAATGCAAATTCTATAAATATGCCAGGGCAGGAATGGTTACTTAAAATAAAAGAGATTTTACTTAAAATAATATATTTGGTTTGCTCTGTACATCTTTAATGAGCATTAGCTACATCGCTTGTGTCCTTTAAAAAGAAATAGAGAATTCTGAAATGCAATAGTGCTGTGAGAATGCTCTGAGACGACATCTGCTCCACCCCACCCCCCAAAAAAAAGATGAACATTTATTGACAAGCTCATGTATCAAAATATAACTATTACAGCATGAAGAAGAATGTGGAGTGTGTAAGCTGTTGCCATTGTCAAGAGAAGAAGTTTCACCATCCTGCAGGTTTGATCACTGTGGAGCTTCATGAGAAACATGCTGCTTGCAGGAAGAGCAACTCCAACACAAGGGTTAGAGGTATCAGTGTAGAGGTATCAGTGGTGCTTTACCATTCCATAGCTTTTGAGGTGACACTGAGTCCCAGCTGTTGAAATATACAAGGTAGGCAGACCTGAAAAAGCTCATCACTCTCATCTCTTGCTTGCAAAGCAGCCCTCAGAGCTCATGGGCTCCTTGGAATACATGTCCTGTGATTCTTAAGTACACCAACACACTGGTATTCAGCTTGCAGGGTCAGGAGGGTGGGCCATGCCTGTCCATATCTAGACCTAGTGTGCTGCAGGACAGACCCTTTCCGAAGGATACACCATGTAAGAAAACGTGAGTGGTAAACACAAGTGAAGACTACTGCCTTTGATACTATTTTGCCTTCAGTTATTGGCTCCCCACCATGAGAAGAGGGAACCAATGCTGCTGAATTTTGGCCATTGGCTCTGTTAAAGTACCAAACACAAGCATGTTTGGCCAGCTGAGACACTCCCCAGGAGCAGCTACCACCTGGACCACTCACTTCAGGGTGAACAGGCCAGGGAACAAGATGGTAACATCCCGGAACTGAAGGACCACTCATACTGAACAGCTTTGTGCACATAATTTAGATTGCTGCTCTTCTCTAAAAGAATTACTTTCCCTACACTGATTAAAGTAGGAGCCTGTGACACTGTCTGGATACAGCATTTACTTGGGTAGGGTGGCATGAATACCCTATCATATCCTAACATTACAGGCATAGATAGATCAGTTGGAAAGCAAAAGCTATACATTTGGATGTTCCTCTATAAACGCAGGAGCCAAAGGCAGCTTCCGAAGTCCTTGATTTCTAACCAAGGTTAGAAGTGCAGTATCTCTCCCCAGCACTCACAAAAAATGCTGGCTGGCTGAAAGCAATGGAGAGGTTACAAAGGGCAGCCTTGAAATGTTTTGAGGCATGAAGAGATTGGATCTAAAAATATTGGATGAGAATTTCCTCACTGTAGGAAGCACGGTTAGAGGCATCCCTGGTGATAGATGAGAGTTAGCAGGAGCAGAACAAGTTCTGGAGCTCAGTGACCCATGCAAAGACAATTCACTGTCCTCTTCATAGGAAGGAGAGCTGGTAAATCTACCACAAAAAACAGCGCCACAAATCAAAGCTGTGGCACATTTCATTTCTAGAAAGATAGCATCCTTGCAGGGCCTTTCCTTCAACTGTTCAACTCACAAATATCTTTGCCTCTTGGGATCACTGAGTTCTGCTGCAGCTAACTTAGTGAAACTCAGTAGAAAGGTGGGTTAATGCAAAACCGGATGAGTGAAGCTGCTACTACACTGCTGAAGTTTCCACAGTATGGTCTGCACTATATTTGACAGCTGGCATGATTCTCTCAAAAGAGCTTGTCTTCAGTGTTTCATAAGACTCTAGAAAGGATTGACATTAAAAACAAAAACCAGCACCTTCATCCAATATTACAAAAATAAAAAAAACCCAACAGTGGTGTCAGAGATAAGAATAAAATGCTAAAATATCTGTATTATTTATGTAGTCAGGAAACAGATCTAAACCTTTGTCAACCAGGTCCAATTTTACTTTAAAATGACACTAACCTTGAACATGCGTCACCTCCTCAGCCACCACGAATTCTTGAGATACCCTCTCTACAAACAACCATTTACATAATGACTGAATAGCTTTAGCAGTTATTTCACTGGAAAGGCCAGGCTGCCCTTAACTGGTTTTAATCCATAATTTATACCCCTCAATATTTTTTAGTAATCTTTCTGAAGGTCAAAACTGATATACATGTCTCAGCAAAGTCTTTTAGCCTTCTTTAAAAAAATTACTGAATAATAACTGCCATCTCCTCTCTTTCATCCCCTTGGAATTACAATTATTTAAGCCACATTTTCTGTAATGTCAGAAAAAGAGGCTCCTTCCTGCAGAAAAGCTTTGTCTTGAAAGGTTCCTTAGTCTTGATCAGTATTGCCCCCAAATGACTGAAAGTCCAAAGTTCTTCCCTCTCAGGGTGGAACTCATTTGACCAAAGCAAATGACTGGCCCTTATCACAACCAGTGGAGTTCAGCTTCTGTGACTCTTCCTGCCTATCTAAAGCAGATACATAGAATGGGCAGAATACTTCCTTGTAAATACCTCTTTCTCCCTACCAAATATATAGAAATAAACTACCACGGATGTGACTGTCTCAAGTCCAGACATCAAACATGAAATGTATCTCACCCTCAGTGCCAGGAAAGCTTCTGATCTCACCAGCCACACAAATCATTTTAAGAAGAGCATCAGAGACTGTTATTTCAGGCCTCTTTCCTTCAAATATGATTCACAGGGAAGCAGTAAGTGGTTTCATGCAAGGAAATGAGTAGAAATTAAATAAATAAATAAATAGAAAGCATTGTTCTACCAAAAAGCATCTCTGAAGAAATCCCCTGACATAAAGGAGAATTAAGTTATACTGTTCTGCACATTTATTCCCTATTCTGTAGAACAAATAATTCACTACACTGGACACATTCTTTGCCTGGAGCTTTCCATCCATAAAGTTTAAGATGACTCCATGAAAACCAATAAAAAGCAATACCATTTATCCCTGTTTTCCTTGCACAGATTTCCTCTCAGCTCTGAGAAATGAGGGCAGCCATGAGAAATGAGGCCAAACAGCAACAATGGTTTCAGACCCACTATGGAAAGAAAATATAAATCATAGAATCATCATACAATGGTTTGGGTTGGAAGGGACCTTAAAGCATCTAGTTACAACCCCCCTGCCACAGGCAGGAGCACTTTCCATTAGACCAGGTTGCTTAAAGCCCCGTCCCACCTGGCTTTGAACACTTGGAGCCTACTGTTTTGGATTTCTTATTAGTTATCTGGAGCATCTTCTCTTGTTTCCCACTGTTACCAGTCCAAGTAAAGCAGCTGTTGCAAAGTCTAGTCACAGTCCTTTTTGTTAGCTCTTTACTGAACATGAATATCTAATGTCATTTGATGAATGCTGTCATATGTCTTTTCCACTGGGAAAGACAGAAAAACAATAACTGTAAATAATGTTCATGAATTAATTCTACAACAGCAAGGAAAAAAGATGAGGCCAAGGGCTTTCCACTGGAAAAAAAAAACAGCATTTAAAAAAAGATGATTAAAATGGGACATGATAAAGGGCTAAAAATGTCCACATACTCTGTGTCTGACATTGGGCATGTTAAACTCAGCTGTGGCACTGTGCTGAGTGCCATGAGCACCTGCTGGAGGCAGCCCTTACCCATGGGTTGTGTCCTCTTCAGACAAATGCATTTCATTTTCCAAACACAAAATAAGACAAGGGGTTTTAACCATTTCAGTTGCCTAAATTCATTATTGCTCCACTACAAGGGGATCTAACGGTTTCTCTGTTTAGGTCTTTTAAAGGAAAACATATGACAAAGGTTTGGAAGTTAACTTATGCCTCCAAAAATTTCAGATCCATATTAGACATAAATTGTCATTTGTACGGCTCCCCAAAATACTATTTCTTTCAAAACTTAGTCATCTTTTCTTTACCATCCTGCACACAATTTTTGCTTGGTGTTTCTTCTGAATGAGAAAGAATTGAAATAAAACCCCTTCTGTGCAATTGTATGTGTTTATTATAATAAATAAAACTAAAATTAAATTACACTAGATTATGCTATTAAACTAAATTATAAATAAACAGCTTCATGGTGTACAGTTTTATGGTGAAGAAATGTCATTTAAAATCTAGTCCTCTTCACAGGGACTAGGAAAGAACATTAAGAGAAGGAAAACTGACTTTCTTTTCTGAGCACATTACTCTAATGTATATCTGGCCTCAGAGAAGAGTACCCTGCTGGAAAAAAATCATGAGGTACTACATGATTCAAGCTTTTATTTCTCATTCAAAAACATTTGAATGTAACACTGGGCTATGAAAATAACCATGAATGACAGAACTCAAAATGTTTGCTGTTCACCTAAACTGAATTGATTTGAAGTCTTGAGTTAGTGCAAATCAGCAAAATGAAGCCATTGGGACAACAGTGATTTATTGTGTCTGAGAACAGTCTTCAAAAGTGAACCTGAAGTCTGAAGAGAGGCTCAAAGATGATCAGTTTTTCATGACACTGTCTTCATGGTTTAGTATTTTAACTGGGGTGAGGATTAGGAAAAAAACACTTCTGGCAAACAGAAGGGAATAAACAGCCATCCACTGTGTCCTGAATAAGCCAAAAACTGAAGTTCACTTTTGTCTATAAGCATGAGTAATTTGCTGAAGCCCATAAGCCCTCTACTGAAGCTGGAGCTCCCTAGCACACAGCTCTATCCTCTCTATATGTAATTCCATGTAAAGATGGAAAGAGTTCTTGAAAGAATTTTAAAACTTATTTTCCTCTGAGAATCAGACACAAAGTTTTTTATTGAGCTACAATAGGCCAGGCACTGAATTGAATACAGAGTCCCCTTTCCCTTCAAAGGGCTCTGGGGATCAGCCCTTCATGCATCACTGCAAACTTTCAGTTGAAATTCATCAGTTACCCAAAGCAAGCAGGTCTGCTGCCAATGTGTGACAGGCTTCCATTTGTCACTGGGTCCAGAAATGAAAAAAACCAATTGCAAATCTTTAATTAAAGAAAGAAAAAGGCCCCCACCTCCACAGCATCAATCCACCAGGTTTTCTCTAGAAGTGTTCAAATGTTAGGAATGATTTAGAAGTGAAAAACTGAGGGGGAGGAAGGAATGAGCTTTCAAAGGAGTTTGATGTAAGCAAAAGCTGGGCATAGCTCTGGAATATTAGATGTGAAGTCCAGTGAGAACAGAGTTGAAACACAAAAAAAACTTGAACACTCAAAGATGAAAAGCCGGTTCAGTTTAACATACGTCTACAGAGTTCGGTACAGGATTTTTAAAACCAAATGACTATATCACAGGAATAAGAAGTAGACTCTCTTCTTTTTGACTGTAACCATTATTTATTAAATTAACAGTAGTGACACTTGGACATTTTCTCATCAAAATGTTTTCCATTGGAAAACTGATCCATGGAAACCTAATTTTTTCATGGGAACATAAAGATTTGCCTTAGCAGGAAAGTATTCCCCTGTTACACATGGAATTAATTACCACAGACCAGAATGGTCTAAAACTCAGTGTCAAGGCGTCCAGCAAGAGCCAGTCTGTTCTCTGCCTGATCAGAAAAAGCAGGCTTGAACACCAGCATGCCTGAACCCGAGTGAGACCTCTGACCACTGCAGTGCTGGAAACTATGGGATGGAGTTTGTGCTCCACTTAGTATGAATAAACAGATATTTATTGAATGTGAGGCTCCTACATTGCAGATGAACTCACTGGCCATCAGAACATAGATTCAATCTAATTCTCTCCTGTTGGAGCTGCTAGGTTTTGTGTTAAGGGAGACAGTGTGAGTGTATGTCATATTTTGATATTTACAGTCTTGGGAAGCTTTACACTAATACTCATTTATCACAGTGATGTCTGAGAAAATGTCTGAGGCAGTGAAATATTATCTCCCTTCTGACATATGAGTTACTGACTACTGTCACATAAAGCATTCTCAGTGTGAGCTTGGGTGAAACAGCGGTGGGCCCAGACCTGCCATATTCAGACACAGCCAGACACAGAATCCTGTCCCATCCTGCAACCAGGAATCAATCTACCTTTTCCTTAAAATGTAATTACATTATTTCTTGCCACAGAAAGAAATGCGACTGAATGACAGCTTGCAACACTTAATAACACTAGAAGAAAAAACTTCTTCAGTGGTAGAGAATGCCACTCTTGTGCAAAAATGTAAAATAATCAGAAAAATAATCCTGCGGATATGCTATACTGTATTCTGAGCATCTTCTGCTGATGAAAAAGATGACAGTCTCATTAAACTGTGCCAGTGTCATTTTTATGTAGTCATTTTGCAGTGCATTTTGTTAGCTGAAGTACAAAGCATAGCACAAAGCTACGTTCTGTGTTCTGCTGTAGCAGGCAGCCACTTTTCCAATACAAATGTGTAGCACAAGATTTCCCCCCCCCCCTTCTAACTAGCAAGTTTCTATATGCGTATTCTTGAGACAAACATTAACAAATATTGTTTGGGTATTTTTACAGGCTTTGTTTAAAATAATAAGAAAGGGAAAATTAAAGGGGGGGTGGGGAGAAGCTTGTTGGAAATTTACTGAAGTACTGCAATGGAATTCCTGCTTCTGCAGGTTGCCAGATTCAGATTCCTCTCCTTCAGAATGCCTTCAAGTAGGTGCTACTCCAAAAACATGAAGTATATTTCTAGCACCCAAGCTATTAATGACAATGTTGAACAGAACCAGGTATGCAGCAGAATGAATCCTTCTGGATCCACTTTCATCTTCCCAACAAAACACAAGTAGCTAACTCCCTTTTGAATCTGAATGTCCACTGAGCTGACTTAAATCTTAAAATGATTCATTGTAGGCTTTTTTTTTTTTTTAAATTCTGATTTCTACACAGTGCAGGAAGAAAACACAAAATTATTGATATTTAAAGTGGAATTGAATATTTGCTGCATTATCCAATAGGATACCTCATCAAAATAACAGGAAAGTGTTTCTGCAGGGAGCACTGACACACTTTGTAATGAACTCCCGATCTAAATCCTGATCTAAACAGAAGCAAAGCAGCCAACTCCATGGACTTATTTGAAGCAATACTTTAGCACTTATTATAAATATGTTTTATAACTCAGTTTTCACCCACAGAGTCTCACTAAACACTTAAAAAGATAATCAGTAACTTAGTACTATAGTAGAAATGGGAGGATCCTCCAAGGAAGTACAAACACTTACCTCTTGGTCATAAACTGATGTAAAAGCAACTGTGTACTCCTCCAGGGCCACGTCATTCACCAAGTTTTTCACCTCTTCATCAAAGGCAGGGTTAATAATTCCTTGCCTGTGAAATTCACCATTCATCCTTGTGATGAAGCTGTTCCTTTCCAGGCACTTTCGGGTGAGGCAAGCCAGCTTAGCCTATGTGGCATGGACACATATACACTGATTTCATTCCCTGTTCTGGCTACAAGTTTACATTTTGTGTCTGACCTGCAATTTCATATATTTTGACCTAAAGATACAGATTACAGTCCTATGTGTCTAAGCCATTAGATGCCTCTGCACCTTGCACACAGATAAACTGGAAAGAGAAGTTCCTTTTCCTTGTGCAAGGCCCCCTTTCGATAAGCTGAAGGGTACCCAAGGCAATAATGTCAGCAAGCTCTTGCTTAAAGCCTAAAGACCATTAGCAAACAGCTAGTTCAGGGGCAGGTACATGCACAGAAAGAAGTCTGTAAGCAGAGGATAAACTACGGTGTAGGTCCTTCATCTGCTTTCAGGAGAATACAGTACCTTCAGAGGAGCTAGTGTCAACTTCATTTCAGATTTTCTCTTCTGAAGTTCTTTTTCCTGAAAGTTTGGAAAACATTCTGCATTAATTTATTCAATAGCCACTTTGAAACGGTGTAGCAGGTTTTGGTGTTTGTTTTAGTCCCAACTTTGAAGTGTACACTTTGCATTCTTGTGTGATCCTGCATCACAAACAAGGTGAAGCAGCGTAAGGAGTTGGTTGTACACAGATAGGCCCTGGGACACAAGCACTACCCTACTAGCATTAATGTTGATTTATGTATTAATAAAGGCTTTTGTATGTTTTCAGATGGAGCCCTATATCAGTGGGGTTATTTCGTCAAAGCAGCATCACATTAAAGACATGGTATCCTTCATTGTGCACTCATGTTCCCATTTACTCTATGAAACTTTTAAAATCCACTTTTGGGGAAAATCTTCCCTCTTATAATCTAAATTACATTGTAGAATGAGAGAAACAAGGAGGAATTTTTGTCATGCATATTCCATGGCAGGCCCTGAAAAGTGAACATCAACAACTTCCTACACTGACACAAGCAGTGCATGACGTCTATTAGGACATAAACCAGATGACCTAGTTTGTACCTGAGGATTAAAATAGTTATTATTCTGCTTTCTGATTATGTAGAAAAAAATACAATACCCCACCAGGTAAAATTCACTTCTATTACATATTATTTGCCATTATTATTATTAAGTATTATTTGGCAAAAAAGTACAAATTCTTTTGCATTAATTTTGCTTGACAGTTTGTATTTCTATAAAGCCTACAGTAGATATATGCATCAGAAAAAGACTTCTTTTACGAAAGTTCAATTATGCTGAAAAAGGTTCCATGGTCCTCAGCTAATAACCTGTGGGCTTGGGAAGAAACAGAGTAGATAGGACAGGGGAGACATGTCTGTACACTGCACTAGCACTGGGAGAAAAAAGCTTAGCAGTAGGTCTCTGCACTGGGGAAATTCAATTCTCGATATATGGAGCAAAACATTTTGTTAATGCAATAGAGTAATTCGAAGTTGCCCATTTATATGGATAGAACATCTCACCTTTTACTAACCTACCAACTGATATGCACCATCCATCACTACAGGCACCAGACACTATCAAAAAAAGTTTATTTTACCACCCCTATTCTGCTAAGAGGTGTCAGTGTCTGAGAAAAGCCACTAACCCTCTGTACAGGACTGGTTAGAGCAAATCACAGCATTTGACAAGGCTAGGAAAAAAAACGAAAACAAATCCAAAACCAGCAAAACTGTAGAACATGTGGAAGAATACCATTGAGAAAATGCCATTTACTAGTTGTTTCAGATTATGATGGGAAATTCCAGTTTGGCTCACACTGTAACTATCATCTCTTTTTCAAAACTAGTTTCTAAACACATCATAGAAAACAAAATCTAAGGGGAAAAGGCCCTAGCAGGACTTTTTTCCCACCTGAGTTCAGTATTTATATTCATACTGAGAGCAGTAACCTGCTGTCACACAGTAAAGCAGTAGCTTAGCAAATGTTAATGTCTGTACTTGCTCTGGTTTGCTATGTGAAATGTAATGCACAAGTATAAAAACTGCTAATGTAAGTATATTTGTGTATATATGGGAGCTCTCACCAGAATAACTATGTAAATTAATAGAAAAACAAACTACACACCTGAGAATGTGCAATCCTAGCAGCTGGATCAAAAAGTTGGGAAAAGAAATCCATCAAAGCTCTATCACTAATTCAGTGTGTTTCCTAACCAGATATAGTGCAACAAGAGAGCTGGGAATGTTAAAAATCCTGACAATTTAAGCCAAGGAGGTGGCTCTGTAAAGAATTTCAGCACCACTTCACTTGCATTACACTATGGGGATTATAGCAGAGACTGGCAGCAACTTCTATTGTAGGGTATCATCTTTCCGTAACATTGACCACTCAGGCAATTTACATCTCTTTATTTCTCTCAAGTCAGGAGTACTTTCATATGCCTGGAAACCATTTAATTATCCTCAGACTCATTCCCAGGAAAGACTATTTTGGTTCCCTCCTTAGAGAGGAAAGAGGTAGAATCTAAAGGCTAAACTCATATTTATCCACCCACTTAAGCACACAGAAAACAGGTTTAAGGTACCTTTTGACATAGCTGAGCCTGAAGGAGTTCCACTTCATTCTGCAAGTCATGACACTGATTTTCTAATGTAGCCTGGTCCCTGAGCTGGGCTTTCAAGGTCAGAACTTGCTGCTGTAATCTCTTGTTGGCTATTTTATTCTCCTCTATTTCCTGGGCATCTTTCACAGTGTACACAGACTAGAGAGCGAATGCACAGATTTTTAGATTAAATGTACAGAACAAGGAAAATAATCATGTTTCAGAGCAGAAAACTTCTCAATCAATATTGAGGACCTACCTTGGACATGAAAAAAATAATCTGATATAAAACATATGACTTCAAACCTTCATAAGTATATTAGCACTAATACCTTGCACTAATCTTAAAACTGTTTATGAGCAAGGAGTTCTTGGTCCCCTGTGAGAGCAGACACAGGACTGGGATTTTCTTCACACAGTGAGTAAGCAGAGTGCTCAGATGTCCCCAGTCTCCTGCTACAAACTCATATATAGCAAGCCCCTTGTTTTTCTACATATATTTAACTCAGAGAACAAATTCCATTTAATCAGTTATGTTTTTCTTTTGGAAGATTATTAATAAAACTAATCAGATTTTAAGTATAAATTTCAACAATATTTTAAAAGAAAAGTTTCATTACAATAAAATGTAGTAATGATGTTATAGGACAAGTGGAAGGAGGAGTTTCTGAATGTAATTCCCTCTCTCACTGTCCAATTCTTTTTTCTTTCAATTTTATGCACTTGGATTGAAAGGATTAGTGAGAGCTTTAGATTGGCAGTGAGCGGCATAAAATCAGCACCTACAAGTGACACTGTCAGATTAAACAATAGATCAAGAATCTAAGGAAAATCTGAGACTGAAGAAAGTCTTGTGAAAAACATTTATGCTATTGTGAACTTATATTAACAAAATACTGAGCTGAAACACACACCTACTCAAGAGTTCTGATAACAAAATAAGCAAGTCTAAAAGATTAAGCATCTTAAGTGATTAAAGCTAAAAATTCTAGTCGGACCTGTGACATACTGCAGTAAAACCGTGTCACCTTCTGAGAAAACATGCAGAAGATGCTTTGATTTCAATGGTTCCTAGTTGTCCTGGTTTCATCTGGATAGAGTTAACCTTTTTCCTAGTAGCTGGTGCAGTGCTGTGTTTTCAGCTTTAGTCTGAGAACAGCGCTGATAACACACCATGTTTTAGTTGTTGAATGGTGTTTACTCTGGTCATGGACTTTTCAGTCTATCATGCTCTGGCAGTGAGGAGCAGCACAAAAAGCTGGGAGAGAGCAGAGACAGGACACCCGACCCAAGAGGGTATTCCATACCACAGCACATCATGCCCAGTATATAAACTGGAGGAAGTTGGCTGGAAAGGGCTGATTGCTGCTTGGGAAGGGCTGGGTATAACCCGGTGTGGGGTGAGCAATTGTATTGTGCATCACTGTTGGTTTGGGGTTGTTTTGGGTTGGTTTGTTTTTTGGAGGGGGAGGGTGTTATTCCTTTCTCTCTATTTCCTATTATTATTACTATTATTATTATACTTCATTTTAATTATTTATCTGTTCTTATCTCAACCCTTGTCTTTTTTTACCTTTTTCCCCTTTTTCCCCTTTTTTACCTTTTTCCTTCCCATCCCACTGGGAGTGAGGCGAGTGACTGAGGGGCTGCGCAATACTTAGCTGCTGGCTGGGCTTAAACTGTGCCACTAACTCTGATACAACTAATAGTCTGCTGTGATGCACAACACCACAGTTAAATTTTCCTTTGCTTTCTGACAGCCTTTCTGACTTTGACACTTGTGGTGATTACAAAATACTGAAGGCACCATTTCATGGAAAATCACCAACTGAAGTGATAGACCACGTTACAACACATTGTTACAGAACAGCTAAAAACAGAAATATGACATTTTCCTACTGCTCTTCCTAATGAAGAAAGCCCTCTATGCGCAGCATTCCAGGAAGTCATTCATGTTTGTCCCAAACTTTTTGGCTCCCTCTTGTGTTAAAAGAACAATAGCGACTGTTGGACACATTAAGATTGATTAGACAAGGGCTGCAAAAACCTGAGGACAAGTCCAAGACATGGTATTTTTCCTCATCTTCTTTCTACACAAAAAGTATGTAAAATAAAAAAAGGAAACATTCCTTAACTGAAGATCTTCATGGAAAAAGTAGTGGAAAGATTAAAAAAATTGATTAAAGATTAAAGGCAAACTTAAAACACATCAGTTCTGAAAGACCTTAGGTTCTAGGTCTAGAGTGCTTGCATCTTCAGTTATTCATATCAGTCAAGCATCGCAGACAGCAATCTTCCAGATAATAGAGCTTAGAATAGGAAAAAGCATAAATTATTGTGATTTACTGTATCAGTTTAATAGCCTCTTGGGGTGAAACGCATTACTGGACAATGTGGCAACTAACTAAAATAGCAGTATCACCAGTCTAAAATTGCCCTCAGGAAGGAAAATGATGCTAGAAAAGTAGATTCTGATAATCATTGTGCCAAAAAGTCCTTTTTTTAAAAAAATCTAGAAAAACTTCTGTCATGTCTCAAGAATTTCACACAAACCCACTATTGATAATTTGGTGCATATTAAAGAATTTATTTTAAAAGAGAATTCCTGAAATACATGACCTTTGTTAAAATATATCTACTCTGTTTTCTATCTGTGCTGTTTGCTTAATTGTGGCAATGAAATCAATATCATTTGATTAGGACATAACAGACTTGAGTCATGCAGATAATTAGTTGTGCCATCAAATAGTGTAACCGAAGGATGCACCCAGTTCTGTGACGTACATACACTGTGATTTTGACCCTGGAATGAGACACATGTATTCAACTATTTGTCATTAACATTAAAGCAAGTAATGAAATCATATTGAGAAGTCAGATCTAAATCAAACCACATCAGAATATGGCATAAATATATACTACTGATCAATAAGCACCAACATGAGAAGTTCAGTTATTGGAGGGATTTAAAAGTGGGTTTGTGTGTGAGGTTTTTTTGTTTGCCTGGTTTTTTTTTTTTGTGGTTTTGTTTTTCTTTGGGGGGTGGGGTAGGGGGTGTTTTTTGTTTGTTTCAGAAGAAAGGCTGACTTATGTTTTTTCCAGTATAAAAACACTGTCAAGGAGGATGAATTTTATGCCAATATAGATCATCAAAATAATTAACATCCTACTACAATGACCAATAAAATAAGCAATAATTGCCACAGCCTGTCTCCACACAAAAGGGTTAAAGTTCCATTGCTCAAAACTGTCCCCCTAAAGCTTAAGTGTTAGCTTAAGCAAAACCCTATGACACACTTCCATTCATTTTCAAACAATCTGTCTGGGAGTTTCTTCATCTTACGTGAAATAGTTCAATGCATTGTTCTAATGACGTGAAAAATCTGTGCTTCATTTTCAATTAACATTCAGAATTCAGTTGTCATGTCAGCACATAGTGACACTTAGGGTGTACAAAGTTATATGATATAACTGCAAAGGATTTGCAGGTGACCAACTACGCCCTCACTAGGAATGCCCTAAGGCATTTAAATGAGAGAAAGAGTGAACTGAGCCCAGAATCTTTAAATTTTCCAGATTTTGCTTTTATTTTCTTCCAAAGCCATATCTATCTAATCTGTTCAAACTGAACTTGCAAATATTATAGGTTGCTACAAAATTGCTTTTCCAGCTGATGAAAGCTGCATGTTTCTTCCTTGCAGTTTTCCTGCTACAGAGGACAGACCTTCAACGCCTTTCATTAAGCCCACCTGAAAATCCAAGCCTCAGAAAATTACTCTGGCTAAAGAAAGCAGGACAAGAATCCTCTTACAAATAAATGAAGGTGTCTATAATGCTCAAGCACAGCTCAGACTTTGGACTATCCAGTAGACAGATGGCCTACCTTGCATAGTATCTGTTCACTTTCAAGTTTATAGCTCCAGTGGTTCTAGGTGCTCTATACTTGCTTCAAATCTATTGCCAATAGCAACAAAGGGTATCTCTGCATCCAAGACACTCCCTCCCAAGGAATATGTTTTTCTCTATTCTGTTTACATACATACCATTAACTTGCAGTGCTGTTTACCAAGCATTTTGTTCCCAGATTCTTGTTTAAGATGGTCTAATTCTGAGAGAGTCCGTGTCAAACGAGTTCTGACCTCTTCGTATCTTGTTTCAGCAAAGCCAAGTTCTCTGTACCACCTTTGAGCCTAATGGGAAGAATAAAAAAGCAAAACTACTAAGTATAATTAACAGTGATATCATTTTTCAATAATAGCTTATGACCATGGGCTTAAGTCTGATCTCCACATCACAAGATTTAAGTTATTGTAAATTGATTAAAATAAATGGGATTACATAATTCACTACAATCTTATTACAAGAAATAAGTAATACTTCTAAGTGCTATAGAAACCTAACTAACTAGAGCTATGCAGAAAAATAGACTAATTTTTAAGTTGACTTCTAAATTTGAAGTTACCTTGAGTATTCTGAATAAAGTTAAAAAAAATTAAATGCAAGGGTGATGCACTCGCACTCTCAGAGATTACATCTTTGGAAGCACTCAGAGCAAATGGAAAGTAAGATTTATCAGCTGGGGGAGAGGGGGAATCTTCCTAAGAAATGTCAAAAAAGAAAAATGCAAAGGAGGAAAATAAAAAACCCCACAACCTTCCATATGTTCACCTCTACATTTTTCCTAGAATGCATTTTCTCCACTTTACACATTTTCTGTATATCTGTATATCAATAGATCACCTGGTTGCCTGACAGTGAGGTCTTTCCTTTATATGATAGATAATTTCTTCCCTCTTCTGAAAGCAAAGGTTTTGCATTCTTTTAAGTAAACTGAGGAAGATGTAACACACAACTTCCTTGGAACACACAAAAAGATTAGAAAGGACCCAAGTTAAAAAGATTTTTTAAAATAAGCAAAATTTCAAATGACCTTTTCATGTTCAAATTACAAGGTCAGACGGCCTTACCTAAACATCCATCAGTTATCCAAATCCACCCCTTCATTCTAATTGCCTCACCTGGGAAAGCCTTATAAAGCATCTGTCAAAGACCAGCCATTTTGTACACCCACTGTGTTGAAGTCTACTGCTCTTTTACATATTGAACACACTTGCTACTGCCAGTTTTTTCCATAGGGAATCTGAGCAATGCCTGCTATTGCATGAAACAACCCCATAAATATACACTTGTCACAAAAGCAATACATTCTGCTTAGACAAGCACAGGGTGGAGATGGTTCAGTGAAATGCAGGAATGTGAAAGTTACTGCATTTGTAGAGGCACAACACTGAAAGCTTCCTCAGATGGTATCAAAACTGCAGAGCTGCTTTACACAGGCACAGAACTAGCCATCCAAACAAGTCTCCACGTAGATGGTGCTGGACTTCATGTTTACTACAAAGAGGTTGAGAGAAGGGGCAGTGTGTGTGCTTTGCACCATCACTGGGGATAGTGAGATGCCTTGATAGTGTCAGATTTTACATCATTTTGGTTCTCATTCAAATACTGCTTTGAATTCAGGTTTCCCATAATCTTCAGTGCTTCTACTCCTCCTTATTCCTAGTGAGGGGGAGGGAAGCAGCCTGCCCAGAGATGGCCACAGCAGATGGTTTGTTCTGTGTGTCTTTATTAAGCTGAGTGCTTTATTAAGCTTTATTAAGCACTCAGCTTCTGTCAAAGAGTGGTGGAGGAATTCAGCTTCACTTGAAGTTCTGGCCAACCGCTAATGATTGTGCAATTCATCACTTAACTGAAAAATCAAAGTGGTACTTTTTGGTTCTGCAAATCAGAGACATCCTTGTTAAATCCTGGCTGAAATAACAGGCATGTAAGAAAACAAGAAAGAAAACAGATTTACACCAGAGCAGGAGATTACCTCTTTTTTTGATTTTTCTAATTCCTTTCGCTGTATTTTTAGATCCTCTTTTGCCTTTTCAACTTGCTCTTTCATCACATTGTAGCTTTCAAACATGCTGCCCTAGATACACAACAGAAAGATGTGACTCCTCTTGCCCATACAGAATGGCATACAGGTTTTTAAAGAGCAGCATATCATTTCTTCCTGAATTACTAAAAACATTTGTATAAAATCAAGATATTAAAGATGAATATTTCCCTGTTGATTGTTCTCAGCTGAAGTAATAATTCTGTTTTAACAAGAACACCGTAATCTTCATAGAAATTCCTCTAAAGGAAAACCAGACAAGAAATTCACTATAAGTAGAGATCCTCTCTTTAGGCATATGCTTCATAAAAAACAAAACAGTAAAAAAAAAAATAGACCCTATCAAATAAAAGCTAGTAAGTGAACATGCGCGCACTTTTTAATAAGATGTGATTGGTTCTTCAACCCTGAATATTTCACCATTGTAACAGAAGTTTGTGGGTTATTTTGCTCTACCAGAGGCTTTTACTTTGGCAGTAAAGTAATTAATTTTTTAAGTGCCTGAACAATGCAATCTTTAAAGAACTATTCTTAACTTTGTAACTTGCAGTATTTATAAATATCACTGTAAAAAACTCAAGTAAAAGGTGCAGAAAAAAATCCAGTATTTTCCTTTTGATTTCAAGGGTAACTACTTTAGTACCTCAGATCTCCAGCACATGGAGGTTAAAACATTTTCTAGATTATAAAGCTAATTTAGTTTTGCCCTCTGAATGACATTTATATTTCCCCCTTTCTTTCAGAGATCTTGCTTGATAACATTCCTCACTGTTATTACTTACCTCTTTTCTGGGATAATAGATTGATGGGTCTACAACCATAACTCCTCCTTCTTCAGTCTGAGTTACACTGCATGCTGTTTCAACTTTCTTTGGCTTAAGATCACATTGTTGACTTTTTTCTCCTAGTCTTATTATCTTTTCGTTTGTTCCCAAGCTTTTATCTTTTCTCAGCTCTTCATAGGTGAAACCCAAATGTGACATTAATTCTTTCAATTTCTTATTTTCTAAAATAAAGTTTGCATTTGCTTTCTGAATTTCATCAAGCTGTTCTGAAGTTTCTTTCCTGATTCTGTCTATTTCTCTTTTCAGTACACAGTTGTCCTCCCGTAGATCAGAAATAGTTTGATAGCAGCTGCTTTTGCACTCTTGAAGTTCTGAAACCAGGGTCCTGTATTTGTCTCGTTCACACTTCACCTCTGCCAAACATCCCAGTAAAGTTTCTTTTTCACTTTCTAAAAGAGATATTCTTTGTAAATAACCCTCTTCCTCTTGGATTAATTCATTATATTTTGCTATATAGTTCTCCTTGTCTTGTAATAATTTACCTATTTCTTTGAAGCATCTGCTTCTTTCTTCTTTCAGATCAGAGAGCATCTGGAAATATCTCATTTTCCTTCCATCCATGGATAAAACACTCCTGGGAAGTTTATTTGAGTCTTTTTCAGAATTCTTATTCTTCTTTTCAACACATGAAAGATTCTTAGAGAAGGTTTCAACAAAAAATGCTCCTGAGCTTACAGTGTTTTCTTCTGATAAGTTATAACATCCACCAGCAACTTCTTTTTCATTAAGCAAATTTTGGAATGAAACAATGTTAGCTTCATCTATGGCTAACATGCACTGAAAATATGCATCCATCTCCTCCTCCAGTGCACGCATCATCTGAGCATATCTCTCATTCTCCTCTTGTAATACACAGACCTTTTTTGAGTAATTTTCATTCTCTTGCATCAGTAGAAATATCCTCTGAGAACACACAGCCACCACCTTCTCCAGTGCACATATTTTCATGTTACATTCACTACCAGCCTCCAGTGGTGACAGGTGACAGAAACACTCATAAAAATTGCTCTCTGTCAGGGACAGCTTGTTTAAGCACACAGCCCTCTCCTGCAGAGGAGAGAACGTGTTTAGCAGGTACCTCTCTTCCTCTGACCAAAAATATTTCTGAGAGTGTGCAAACTGCATGTTTTCAGCCGCTATTTTTTGACATGAGAAATTCTTCTTGTTTGGTTTACATAGTTTCAGGGTCTGGTCTTTTTTTTCTTTCAGGCCAATATTGCTGGAAGGGTTTGTTTGGCGAGTTGGTTTCTGACGTTGCTCTGCTTTCTCCTCCATTTTGATTATGTCTTCTCCATTATATACCCTATTCACATCAGAAACACAGGTTTCTGAGAGATTTCCTTGTTCCTCCATTAGTTTAGGGCTTGCTTCAAAATGCTTCTTTAAGTCTTTAAAAGCAACAGACAAATTTTGTATACCCTGTGAGCCACTTAGGTTGTCTTTGGTTTCTATTCCTTGCTTCCTAGACCTGATCAATTCAGTTTTAAGTAAGACTTTAGAACTTTCCTCAGGAACACAGGTCACCTGTTGTGGTTGGGCTTCCTCATTCTCTATTTCTTCTCCTTTAACTCTCCCTCTGAAGATTTTTTGGTGATGATTTTCATCATCAGCATCTTTATCCAGACATTCAGTTTCACCTATGTTTTTTGACAGAATTTGCTTATTTTCCCAATGTTTTTCCACATTGTATTTTTCTAAAGATGATGTGAAGATTTCACTCAAAGTGCAAGGCATCTTTCCATGAATAAATGCAAAAACTTTGTCAGAAAATCCTCCTTCTGCAACAAGGCAGAAGCCATCAGAGCAAAGACTGGTATTTGCCTCACAGAAATCCAAACTCCTCACTCTCTTCACAGTGGTGACAGCCGATATGTGGTAGCTTTCAGGTTCTAACAAAATAAGCTGGAGCTTCTTCTTCATCAAAGCTTCAACCACAGAAACAGGAAATGTATCTGCTGATAGGTTTATAGCTTGTTCCTTCAACAGAGAAAAATTTTCTTCACCTTTTGTTTCCTTACTTGTCTCATCACCAGTCAAGTTCTCAGAGCGAGGGGGAAGCAGTCTTGCTGCACTTGGAATACATCTGTACAAAGTGAAACTATTTTCTAGAGTACGTGCCCTCTTTGTTCCAAGGGTGACCTGGTAATAGCAAAAGAGGAATGTTTCAAACTCAAAAAATATAAGCTAGGATATATCATTCTATGTCGCTAATCATAATTTATTTCTCACTTCATCCATAAAGTACTTGATTACAGACAGGTAAGAAAATTTCTATATAAAGAGTTTTCAAATTATTTAAAGGTATGCAATCAGAGTAATGATACAAATAAGGTGCAAAAAAACCAAAACAATAACTTTCTTGGTACACACCTACATTCATCTTGAATGACATCTTTAATACCTATAATTTAAAGCTACTTTTATACTGATATAAAAACACCAACTCTTCATTTTCTCTCAAAATTCACAGACTCACTGTGCACAAACGCAGCAAGCATAGAGGTGACTTTTTCACCTACCTGCTCAACCACAGCTAGAGCAGCAGTTTTCGCAAAGGCACTGGAATTGTGTTCTAAAACTGGTAGAAGTTCTTCCGGTAGCTTCTCCATCTGTTTTAACCCGTCATAGCTGCATCCTGGTGTTTCTGTTATGGTAAAACACTGGACAAGTGTAATGCCGTTCCCAGATAGTTACATAATCAAACCCAAAAGCATCTGACCAGATGTTTTGAACAGAAAAGTATTTTAGTGACAGTATACTAAAAAATACCAGAGGCATGTAACACCAATGATGCAGAGAGAGGCACACCATTAAACAAGAAAAAAACTGATAGTGTTTGCCAATTCCAGAGCTTTCACGTTGTTTGGTCTGAAATCTGACTGCTGCACAGCATTCCTAAACACTGCACTTCAGCCATGATATGGGAAGTATCCCCTACTTCCTTATCTCCATAGCTTCTTGAAAGGCCTAAGCCTTCTTGAGAAAGCTCATATCTAAATGCTACTATTATACTGGCAAATGGTTATTGCTCCACTTTCCCAAGATAGAGTTTCCAGATTAGGTTTTTAGAAGCTCTTGTACCTTTTAAGTCATGCATGCCACGTGAATGAAATAATCTTTGCTGAAATGAAATAATAATTGCACAGAAGTGAAAGCAAAAATTCCAGTTTATTTTCATACCAGACTCTTCAGCATGTAGCAGCACAACTGGAGTTTGAGTAGATCTGCTGAGTGAATCCAAACCTGCTCCCCATTTCAGAGTTTGGATGTCATCCTGGATTAGATCTCCGTTCTTAATGGGAAAAGGAGGAGAAAATTAAAAAACAGATTATAAATATACAGTGTTTCATAGAACCACAGAATAGCTAGGGTTGGAAAGAACCTTAAGATCATCTAGTTCCAACACCCCTGCCATGGGCAGGGACACCTCACACTAAACCATGTCACCCAAGGCTATGTCCAACCTGGCCTTGAACACCTCCAGGGATGGAGCATTCAAAACTTCCCTGGGCAACCCATTCCAGTGCCTCACCACCCTGACAGTAAAGAACTTCCTCCTTATATCCAATCTAAACTTCCCCTGTCTAAGTTTTAACCTGTCATCCCCTTATTTGTCATATGAAAAACAGGAACCTAAATTTCCTTCGTTATTTTGCATTCAAAGATCCATTATTTCATTAGAGTTGTTATCATTTCATACAATTTTCTCATCCCAACATTATCTAGCAAATGTTATGGTTTTAAACTTCCCACTGTTTCTGTCATACTTTACAAAAAGTAAAAAAAACCCTGAGTGATAATCATGTAATCATGTCAGATCACAATGGAATAACATCTGAACAAAGACTAAATTACAAACTCATAAACAAAGAGAAAAAGACAGTCCAATCAAGTTGGGGTTGAGACTAATAGTTCAGTGCCCAGCTACAAGGACAGCAGTTCCTAGGCTGAAAGAACTCAAAGGAGAATCATTGTTCCAAATAGAATTTTCTTTTCCCTGATAATTTACTTGTATATTTTGTATTCTGTTCTTAATGTTTATCTTGTCTCCCTGATTGAATTTGGAAACTGTGACAAGTTCTGGTCCAAAGCAGATACCCTTATTGCTTGATACACAGCAGATCACATTTCAGATGCACTGTGCTCATTTCTAGTGAACAAAAGACTCAGACTTGAATTTCTCAACAAAACACATAATCAAGGTGGTAGCCAAAACAGCTATGGTGCAGAAAACAAGCCAACACATTCACTTTTGTCTTCCTGAACTGTTCCACACTAAATGCCAGTGGAAAACAAATTTGGTCCCTTTGGGGGACACACTCATTCTGTTCCTGCTCATTTGCTTTTATTTTTTTCCCAGATATCTTCTCTTTATTGATACGTGGGTTCTGCAAAAAAAAAAAGTTACAGAAAATAACATAAAGGATACAATGGTTGTATGCCAGGAACATAATTCTGTGAAATCAAGACCTCAGCTGTCATGTGAAAACTATAGAAAGGTGCATGGCTAGGTATTTCATACTTTTTCTTCACCAACACCTTCAGCAGACCCCTAATGTTCACATCTAGAAACTGTCTGATAAGTCAAGACACAGCCACATGGACCCAGGTGCTTCTTCATGCATTTTTCATGCAGGCATAGGCTGCAATTGGAATACTGCAGACAGGATCCTGATACCGAGTTTGGAAATTCAGATTTACAACAAGATTTGAATGGCTAAACTCCTAACTGAGGTGCAGTTCACTTCTACAGTACCAGAACAAAACACCTGCTTGGATCTGATGTTATTGTAAGAAGATGAAGTTAACAACTAAGGCTAGTTTTGAGGAATGACTGATGTTCCTGGCATTTGAATGACATGGTATTTACTGAGGAATCTCATACCATGTGTATTTCACATGAGCCTGATAAGCCCATCTTCATGAATTACTTTTTTCCTGTGAAATAGGCAAATGAGCCCATTCAATCTTCACTGAAAAATTGTATACAAGCAGCTTTCCAGAAAAGTACCAGCATGAAAATCTTTCTTGTTTTGTACACAATTTCTCATTTTTATAGCTGTTGGTGGAGAATGATGAGCTCAAATAGGATTTTTCTTGTAACTATTTGGACTAGCATACTATAAGGTGATACAATTAGGAAAGTCTTAATAGATGGCAGTAAAAAACAAGATAAGGGGAAAAAGCAGTCTTCAGTTTTACAGCACAACACCAGATGTCTCCCTCCTCCTTTTATCATAATGAATCTTTTTCCCTGCTGTCTCAAGCCATTTTCTACTAGAAAAATCTAAGTGAGTCAGTAGCAGTACCAAAACAGGAAAAACAGACAACCAGAAATGCAGAAGGCACAAGATTTGATATACACAACATCTAAGGAATGCAACCTACTATGCAGCAGACCAAAGTAAACAGGCTTAACGCAAATTATGGCTTGTTCATTTATACCAAAGACTGGGTAATTGAGACTCAGTTTGACCTCCTATGACAACAAAGCTGTAAATTAATACTTAGAAAAGAAGCAGAAACCTTTGTGTTGAAAAGATAACCTTTTATTAGGGTGCTGCGTAAAATGAAAGATATTTGGTCCTGTTTCTTAAGACTTGATTAGTCTCGGGCAATTAGTCAGTTGATATCTCACTTTCACACCTTCAAACAGGTCAATATTTTCTTATTTTTTCAATTTTCCCAAACCAGCAGCGATTCTTCTCTACTTCTTCCCTGGCCCTGGCAGCCCTTACTCCTCCTGATTTTAGCTGTGCAGCCCCCACAGAGTGCACTTGGTGGTTGAACCTGTTTACAACTCAGTGCAAGTCCCTCTAGAAGTATCTTAAAATATTTCCAAACCTTATTCTTTATTTCCCAGCAACACTGAACTCTCCAGTTAAAATAACAGTAGCAGTTGTTCAGGAAAGTATAAAATTAAGCGACAACAGTCAGTCCTTCTGACACTGTGGGACAGTTATGGAGCCGTGGTGAGGCTCAGCTGCTGAGCCCTCCACAAAGGTCACTCATGTGCTGCTGGTTATTGCAGGATGATATTACCACTCTTCCTCAGTCAAACACAGCCAGCCTCCTCGAGCCAATGTAGAGCCACTAAAAATCACCATGTTTGTAAAGGTGCATTCAACTTCCTGGTTGAAAGTTTATTTCTTCTAGCTCTTACAGACAAAAGATTCTCTGTACATTCTTCCAGTTCAGGAAGGACACACAGCCTGATTGTCCTCATATACTAAAGGAGTTTTGTTCATGCCCATTACCTCTTAGTTAGCTACAGTAAAAATCAAGAGTTCTTGGGATATCAGACCACAATCTGAACAGAGTGGCTGAGTGTGAGGCTTAGCTGATTTCGCTTTATTTAACAAATCCTCAGAATAAAAACACCCTCCACCTCAGTGCATAAAGAACAAAACTTTGTTTGAGTCCTCGCGGTGAAAAGAATTGTTCTTTGTCAGCAAAATGAATTGGCAGAAGCTGAATGCCATATTACAGCATATGCAGAGCTTTCCCATGCAATGCTGGAGCAAAGTGCTTGAAGCAAACAAGTCCTATTCAGTGTATTCAGGGCATATCACAAGCTATGGAACTACAAACCACTGAATAACTCAACTCATTCCCAGGAATGAATATTGTGTCCATCTTCCCTTGTTTACCACTATACAGAAAATCTCATAGACAGGTTTATTTTCAGCTGTGATATTCTTCTTCAGCATTTGGGCATGAATAGCATGTGAAAACTCGCCCAACCATATGTGTATTCTTCCACTGAATGGTGTCCACAAGACAAAGGTCTCAGAATTTCTTCAGGGATCTACTTCTAGTGCCAACTGAGATCTTGGCCATGTCACTTGAGCACTTTAGGAAACAAGACTTGTGAAGTTCCCTCAATGAGCACCTAATAAAAGCACTGATACAATGAAGCTCCAGCTACTGATTCCAGTGGGTATGACTTAGACACTGTGAAGTACTAATGCATAAACAGACGTAAAGGAAAAAACTGCAGGAAGGAAAAAGCCTCACACTTGCATCTCAAAAATGTCTAATGGCAACTGTAATTCTGGATTAAATAAAGAGGGAAGCTAATTATATTCTGCCTTATTTTTACTTACCAGGTCAACACTGCTGTCTCTATTCTCCAACCTTGTAAGTTGCAAGTCCTTTTCTTTCTTTTTCAACTTCATGATACCTTGGTCTTTTAAAGTCCTATTTTCATCCAAAAGTTCTTCCACCTTTTCCTGCAGTTTGATTTCTGATAATTTCAGACTATACACGTGATGGCAAGATTCTTCCAGTTTTCTTCTGAGAGAGTCTTCAGTATCCTGAGAGCACCGGAGTTCCCTCAGCAGGTCTGCCTGTTCTCTTCTGTTGCCTTCTTTTTCCCTTAAGAAATCCAGATTTTGCTGCAATGCTTCGAGGTGGCTTTTCAAGTCATGATCCACATTTTCAATACAAGTTTTCAATTCCATTATTTCCACATCAGAGTGTTTATAGCCCTGAGTACCACTGAATGCTGATTCTAGCTTCTGCTGGAGATACTGCACCATTCCCTCTTCTAGCTTGGATAGCAAATGAGCAACATGGGCACTAAGATCTTGGACTTGCTTTTCCAGCCTAGATACCTCATCCTGAAGGCAACTTTCCCTTTCTCTCAGCACTGCTGTTTGTTGTCTCTGCCTTTGTTTGTAGTGTTCAAAATACTCTGACTGGCTTTTTATTTCATCTTCTTTTGCCTTCAGCTGCTCCTGAAGCCAACGTAATTTTTCCTTTTGCTTCTTCTCTGACTTTTCTTGGGTTTCAACCTGTAATTTCAGTGAATTGTATGGTTAACATCTTAATATTAAATCTCTTATTCCCTTATTCTATGTATTAATTTTGCAACAATTCTGCCCTGTTTTCTGAAAACTCAGGAATGACATAAGTAGATTTTTTTAAAACCAGTAAAATCCTCTATTTAAAGCAAAATTTACCTACTGTCTTGTCCTTTCAGCCATCACTGCGACATCTCAGTAAGAAACAAAACACAAACTCACCCATGTCTACCACTACATAAAATACAGAAAGTTTATAAACACTTTCTTTTGCATGTTCTACAGTACATATTAAATCAGAAGAAACCTTTGAACTGGAATTTATATGACCAGCTGTGAACTATACAGCAACAGATCCTTAACACTGACAGTGGTGTAACACTAGGATGTCACAGTTAGAGAAGCTGTGGTTCTGTTAGAGAAAAGAGAACACATGCTTTTCCAGAGACCTTTGCCCTTCACCATACCTGTTACCTGTCAGCTCCTTTTATGAAGATGCCTTTTGAATCAGTTTGTAAAAGACTTTGGTATTTTCATTTGTGGCAGAGTGTGTTTGAACACTTTGACACACAGAGGTAAAAGGTGTCAGTGAAAGACAAGGGCGGCTTTCATGATTCCCATGCTGCCCTTGTTCTGAGCAGAGTAAGAGCCACCAGTATCATAGGGCCATAGCAACAACTTTGAAGCAAGACTGAAGACACCAAGACATTACTGTATTTCTTCAGAGACTTCATTAGGTCAGTCTTGATCTTTAGTACTACCCTGCCTGAAAGGTTCACTGGCAAGGACAGGATAGAAGGAACAATAGGGTGAAATGTTATGCAAATTCAGGTAGGTGTGGGATACTACTATGTTTGGTTAACTGTGGATGAGAATATATGCATGTCTAAGCCTCCTGTGTCTTGAAAAAGCAGGTTTCACTATTAAATAAAAAAGCAGACTACTGTTCATTCTTCAGAGTCTTGCCACATGGTACAAGGGTCCTGTCAGGGTATTCAGCTTTGCCCTAAAACCCTGAGAAAATAGAAGTGCATAAACAGAATCAAAGACATTGTGTTTCACTGTAGATTCTTCCTGAAAAACTTTGATTCCTTCTCCACTTTCAGGGATCCTTCCAATGAGCTGTGCAAACTAGGTGAAAATAACCATTGTATGTGTTATCAACCAACAGCTGACCTTCCTGATACACGAAGCTTATGTGAGGAAGTACTAGCCTTTGGGAGAACTGAAGACTTTCCATTGCAGAGCTGACAATTTCAGAACAGAGGGCAGGCGATCAGCAGTGGGATGTTCTTGGCAATGAATGATAGAGCAGGTCAGTTTGCTCCAGTGAGGGGCACTGCAGAGGAGGGCTTGCACCAGCAGGGCTCTATAGGGAGGGGGCCCACATGACAATGCATCACAGGAAAGAAGACCCAAAGCAATCTGAGAAACCTGGAAGGGCACACAGGCTAAGCAGGAAGCTTAAAGTGGATACAATCTGGTGGAGCCCAACTTGACAATGTGTGAGCAATTGAAGGCTCAGATGACAGGCTGAGCAGCTGCATTTTATACAGAAAAGAGGCTGTGATAGTTGTGTTGTGCTGTTGTATTGCACATGGGAGGGAATAAAAAAAAAGATTTATTATGGGGCTAGAAAGATAAAGTCTGTCCTAGAGAGGAGGAGTACACTGGGTAGGTTCTGGGGAGAAAGAAGGAAGTGGGAGCATATATCTCAAAGATCAAGGGTCTGAATAACAACACTCTGTCAAAAGCATTAGAGAAATGGTAAGTGGGGCCAGAAAGACCAAAAGGTTCTTCTGATTCCTCTGGTTGTAGAAAAAGAGAAAGGCTGAGACGATCTATTGCTTAAACACTGAGAAGTAACTGGAGATGAGATTGACTTATAAATTATTACCCCAAAGAGAAGCTAAACTAGGTTATTTGAAACAATATCCTCCTCACCAAGTTGATCAGGTCCTCCTGAATGTGTTTTATTTTCCCTTTAACGCGCACATTTGCATATTCAACCTGGTGCAACTTCACATTTAGTTGATCAATCATCGCAAGAAGTGCTTTGTGTGATAGCTCCAGCTCTTTCATCCTGTGAGCGAGAATGAAAAGCTGTGCTAAGTAAATACGACACAGTACAGTTCCAGATGGGGAAGCAGTCATCAGCAGTGAATCAATTTATCTTTATTTTTCCATTTTTCTTCCAGGAATAAAATAATAAAATCTTGTTCACTAATAACAAAAGCTTCTTTCTTAACCAATCTCCTGGGGTTTGCACATTATGCTGGAGACTTTCAAAACTGATAAAGACAATACCTATGTTTGTTCTCTCTGTTTGCTTAATGCAAAAACCATATGCAAGCATATTCATAAGGTTAATGTTCACTGAAGCTTGGCATGCTCTATGAAGTAACAACTTACAATAAGGACAACTGCAACACATCAGTCTGTACCTGTGCCCAATCCTGTACTGATGTATAGGATATTTCTAGGTTCATAATTAGCATATTCAAATTTTATGATGAAGGTAAATTTGTTCTAGTGACCAAAGAGAAAATATCTCACTTGAAACATACTTCACAGTGGGTATTGAAACCTCTAATGCATAACTGCAATGACTTTGTCCACAGAGCTGGATTTTGACAAAATAAAGGTTCATTTCACCTGTTGCTGTTTAAAATAGTAGTGTAAGATAATATGGTGCTATGTTTGGGATTCCTCTACACATAAGGAATAGCTAAAATAATCTTACAATAGCAAGCTTCATGTTCTCCTTAAGGTTTTCCTTCCCTTTTCAGCCTACATATTTTTTTCCCTGTGGCAGATACCAGAGCCTTATCTCAGAGATGCTCACATCATCTCCTGTGCCCCTAAGGACTGTGCCGTACTCAACCTTTTTCCCTGAATTTCTTTGTTCAACCTTCAATAGTTTTCCACTCAGCTCGCCTGCTCATTTCTATCTTCTAGCTCTGTCTTACTGCCCTCACCTGCCAAAACTTCCTGCTATCTCCATCCCAGCACGACAATGCTGCCTTCATTTAAAAATCACACATAATAACATTTCTGAAGCAACAGGATTAAGATAGAAAACACATCATAAAATAAGTATCAGTTGATGTATCAAAGCAAACCTGATGCTTTGATGCATCCTGATACAGTTGATGTATCAAAGCAAACCTGATGCTGATGCTCCCCACTGCAGACACTGCATAACCTAACACTGGTGCCAAACAAAACTGGGCCACATAACAGGTCAACACTCTGCCCTGGCTAGTTACAACTGCTGACTCTGTTTCTCTGTTGTCTCTAACAGTTCTGCCTTCCATGTAATTCCTTGTCTCAAATGTCTGCTTCAGCCACAAGAACTTCAGGCACAGGATTCCTTTTGCTTCTCCTGGCTACCCAAGATCCCTGAAAATGGGCTTCATATATCTCGGACAAGTTTCAGCTGATCCTTGAATTGTTCTCTTATGCTTTTTTTGTTTTGGTTTTAAATAAATTTCTTTCCAACTTCCCTTTCCCAAATCTTTGTTAAAATAGGCCTGTTCCTATGAAAGCTTCAATTTCAAAAAAGATTCATTATTATTCTGATAAAAAGCCCATTATCAAAATATTTCTGGCCAAATCCCTTGATGAATCAAAGCAATTCAGAAATTAAATAATTTTTGGGAATGCCATTTATATTTTCTGTACTTTTAACTAGGTTTCCTTTAGAACAGTGCAGTTGCTGACCAGCTAAACCTTGATCTTATTATTCTAGTCAACTACACAATTAATATTTAATAGCAGCTTTAGCTACTGCGTTAATATTAACGTACTAAACTAGGTGAAGTTTTCTAAAACAAGAAACTTTTTTTGCAATGTAAAATCCCAAATTAACTCTTAACTTCAAAGGAAAGGAATACAATATTAAGCAGAATTTATATGTTATGAATATTTAAGAATAAAACATCCTGAGAAATCTGTCTGGTCATTCACAGCAAGATTTTAGGTCATGCTGTAAATCTAAGTTATATTATTAAAAACTCAAATATTGCATTTCTATTCCACCAGCTACACAAAACACACATGCGTCTTATCAAGCACCCTAAAACCCCATTAAGTCTTTTTTTTCTGTTTTGCATGTATCATTTGACAGCCAGTACCTGGGGCAAAGGGAAGAGTATATTTGTACATTGCATTAATTTTGAATACAGAAAAAAAAACTTTATTTACCTATTTCTTAGGACAGAATCTGACTTCACGTAGTCCTCTAAAACATCTCTCAGTTTTTGCTCTGACTTTTCCAGCTCTTTTATTCTGAGGTCCAAATTTTCTTCTCCAGCACTGTGCACTTGTTCACCAGGTATGCTTGCATCTTCTAATTCCTGGAAAATCCATGAAGTATCAATTTTAACATTGAAATTCAGGATATCAAATCCTTCATTGCTAGGCATTTTAACACAATAAGAAAATTCTTGTTTTCTCCCTGATGGAGGATCCATGATGAAACAAACCCAAATGATTAGGTTCTCAACATACTGCAGTCTAAGCACGGAGTAAAAGAGACTAAGCCTCTGATGGTCAAATGAACAGTCCTTCTCAATTCTGAATACATTTATTATTTATGAAAGAGTCTCATTTCATTAGCCCCAGAGTAATGCAGCATGTGTGGAAAGTGTTGCAGTTCACAAAATGAGATCTCCATGAAAAATTCAATTAGACTAATACATTAATGAATTAGGCATAAAAGTTTTGAAAAGAGGATAATTTTCTACTAAGTAGAGGAGTTACCAGAATTGAGAATGTTGACCACACAACTTCCGCCCCCTCCCCCCCCCTTATTTTGGATAAATACCTCATATTTTATTGTTTCAAGATAGAAGATTAAAAAATAATATTTCCCATACAAAAGGCAATCTACAGCTATTTCAGAGAAACATTCAGTGTTTAACAGGTATTTTGGAATTCTGAATTCAATATTTTGCTTAAACTTCTCCTTCAACTCTGACAGGTTATGAAAATACGCCTAAAAGGAATTTTTAAACTTGGTGTTGAGAAAGCAAGTCAAGTTTGGTTCTTCTCCTTTGCCTCTTTTAACAATAGCTTTACAAGTTCTTCAGCCTGCAGTTCACCTTCATTTACAGGAACTCTCTTAAGCAAGTATTGTCCTACAACCGGTATCTGTAAAATGCTTTTGCTTTTGCTATAATTGTATTGATTTGGAATTTTATCTATAATTGTAATTCAACCACTGAGTTTGGACCTGTTCTCCAGGGAATAAAGCAGTTACTGTTTTGGTTTGGTTTATTTCTTTTCTTTTTTTTTCTGCACAAAGGACCAAGAGTGAAGAGCTCCAGATGCCACTTTGTGATCTCTAGGCTTAGCAAGCCCAGCCCATTCTCAGAGACCATGCACTTCTGAAACCTGTAGAAATAATCACAGGTATCCTCTGGCCTGTATGAGTTCTCAAATGAAAAAGTATCTTTGATTTTAAGCTCCTTGAGACACTAATATCTTTATTATTTGTAAAGTGAATAGACATCCTACTCCATGACTATGAGCATCCCTGAACACCACTGCAAAAGAAGTATATAATAATAGTGGACAATGTTACTTTGCTCATTGAGTTTACAGAGGAAGCTAAATTAATGTCATTTTCTATTGTGCCACAGCCTAATACCCAAGTCAAGCTGTAAGAAGTAAAAATGGCTGTATATTTGGCAGAAAGTAGTCAACAGATAAAAGCAGTGAGGATGGACAGGGCAGGAAATAAAGTGACACTTAAAACCATTGCACTGATTTTAACACACATTTCTAGTACGTGCTCTTGCTTGTAAGTACACTTTTATTCTCTGATATAATGAAAGCTAATACAACAGTTTCTGAAGTTAATCTCAGACCTCATGATCTATTAGACTCTATGGCTTCTGATGCTCCATCCAGAAAACTACTGAGTACTTTAGCATAAAGCTGGGAAAGCTGTTATGACTGACATCAGAAATGAGAAACTTACTGTTTCCTTCTTTGCTCATACAGCTGTGACAGATGATTTAAAAGCTGTGTCACAGGAAGTGAAAATCAGGCCCAGAGTCTTGCAAGGACCAATTCTAGTCCGTTAACACACTGTACTTGTTTCCAGCTCTATAACAAATATCAATATGCAATGGACTAGTAAAACTCCTCATTTTCCAAAACTAGAAATCCTGCTAGCTCAGTGTGGAATAAAAGCATCATGAATGTAACAGAAAACAGCACTCTAATCAGCCAGTTTCATTGAGAAACTTGTCACATGTGAATCACAATGTGACACATCATAAAAAAAAACGAGCAAACTCAACTGCACATACCTTTTCTGCTTTGTAACAAGACCATCTCCGGGCTCTGCAGTACGCTTACCATTGCAGCCACATGCTCCGTCCATCCCATGTTTGTGCTTACAGTTTCATTTCCAAAGCAGTGATGAACAAACTTATATCTATGAGAAGAAAAGAGTATTTCTTTGCCAAGTGAATCACACTTTCCAATTTCTGTTCCTTCATCAGTACCCGATTTGGTTATCTCAAGCTCCGTTTATCTCCCATCATAGTCCTTCTCTTCAGACTAATGCCCAAACTCTTCCCTTTGAAGTGAAGACCCAATTTTTTTTTTTTGCATTCTGTCATCACACTGCTAAATGCTTTAAATAAAACATGAAAAATCTCCGTTTGAAAACACATTCTGTAAATGTTTGTTCTTTTGAACAATACTTTGTGGACAACACGTTCCTTTAGGGATCGACTATCCAAAATCTTGTATGATCCTTGTTTCCAGCTTAAATTGTGCTTTGTACCAGGAAATAGGGTTATTCAGACCCTCACACAAGCCACAGTTTGCTGCATCTGACTGAATTAATCTTGTGGAGTGCCTCAACTACTTATGCAGGTAAATGGTCTTGACTGGTGATTCTTTGTGAAGAGTACATCTAAAAATGATCTTCTGAGGCTGATTCCTGCAGCTTCAAGAGTGAGATATTCAGTTGCTGTGACAAATCTTTTCCTCAGCTTGCTTTGTGCTGCTTTATTTGCCTTGTTATTTTTTTCAATCATGATTTCTACTTTACGCGATATATTATTGTAACCATCTTACCCCACTCCATGTTCATGCTGGAGTTCTGTGTCCTTGGGAGCAGAATTGTTTCTCTGTAGCCCTTTAAACACACAGATCATTTTCAAGAAAATATGAGGGAGGAGAAAGTTATCTTTTTGTATTGTGCTCTTAATATTTTCAGCTTGCCTCAACATTCCAGAAATAATTCAAATTATCTATTTCTTCCTAATGCCTTTCCAGCTCTGAAATAACAATTTGCTTTACCCATCTTAGAAAGATAAGCTTCAACCTTTTGAATCTTCCAACCATTCTCCATCTTAAACAAATCTTTTCAACTTTCATTTTTTTCAGTCTGTGCTTCACCCCAAATTTTTTTGCAGTTCAGGTGGTCTTTGTTTATCCACTACATTTGCTGGTTGAGGTTGTGCCATTTTTGCTTCCTGGTGGCTAATGTCAACATTCTTTTGTTCCACCTGGGACAATGCCATGATTTCCAAATATTCCTTTCCAACTATTTCTCTGCTTATCACATTTGTCTACACATCCATTCCTTCAAGCCGCTCTTTCTTCTTGAAGAGATAACTGAGCACAGTGAGTCATGCATTCCTTTTTACTAATCTCTCAGGTGACCTCGGGATCTTCCATTCTCCCAGTGCTACCTTTACAAGTTATTGCCTTAATTTTCAAGAAACATTAAAATAATCATTTCTCTCACCCACAGTTCTTACCCACTGCAAAGTTTCCTTACTTCAATTGTCCGTCTTGACTTTCTCCAAAACCCATCTCTTCTCCATCTGTTGATTTCCAGCGTATGAATTTAATATGAATTTTACCACTGCAGGGTTGTAAATTTCTATTTGTTTCCATCTTTGAACAGTTTTTTCCCCTGTCAGCTATTTACTATAGAGAATTTATTGTCAAACACTTAGCTTTTTTTATATAGATTTTAAAAATGAGATTCTGTGTTTCCTGGGTGAAATGCAAACCACGTTTGTTGAAAGCATGCAGTATGGAGACAAAAATCTCAGTACTGTAAGAAAACCATTTGGCAGATAACAGTTCACACAGCAGCCAGTAATTGCACTTGTATTTTTTCCAGTGTTTGATTGGTGTGAGAGTGTAAATTCTGTTTAGATTTTTTTTTCAGTGTTTATGGTGTGCTGGTCCTTATTTGATTCACAAATCGTTCCAGCTTGAAGTTATATCTTTAAAAAATCTCTAATTCTAAATTCAAATGTTTTGCAGCTTCAAGTATTATGCAAACTGTTTTAAGAAAAAAATGCATCAATTTAAAGCTGCTCAATAAATATTTTCTGTATTTTTGCAAGTGGACTCAGCTGTTCACTCCATAGGTTCTTTTAGTAGCCTGTATACAAAACAAAAAACAGAAAACTAAAACAACAAAGAAAATAAAAAGTCTGATGAATTTTAGATAGAAAATATTAACATAGAAATAAGTGTTGGTATCCAGCCCTAAATTTACAGACACCACAATCTCTTTCTAAAAGTTTTCTATTAGCTTCAAAGTAATAAGAGTCAAAATTGCTATCAGTAAATCACCTGGTTTGCCTTGAAGTAATGAACAGTGTTCCAGGGTTCAACTAGAGTTAAATCTCTTAAAATAGGCTTTGCTGTGACACATTAATCAGAGACACATTCATCTGTGGCAAAATGAATTATAGGAAATTACCCTCTACATTAGCACCACAATACAACGTGCACTCCTAGAAATGTGAGAGTTGAGCAGCTATGTGGCTACACAGTCATTACCGCTGTGCTATCGCCTCAAAATTCCTGTCACAAACCTTGAATTTAACTGCTTAAATGGCTGCTGTTAACAGGAAGAACAGCAGCTTTATCAACACAACATTTTCTGGAGACTAGATACACTTGAAAATTTTTATTTTCCTCACTAAAGCGGACCCATAATACTATCAGCTATATCAGCACAAAAGCCTATAGATCAGGCCTAAGCCTTCAACTCTTTTTATTTCAAAGTATTTTAAATGGAATGTGATAAATGCTGCTGTTCTCACTAAGTTTATAGAATGTTTATAAGGTGTCTCTAAACTTGGCCAATACACTTTTTACAGTATTTAAAATCAAAAATATTGATCCAAATGTTAGCACCTCTAACTGGGATTGGAGTAAAAAAACTAGATGAAACTCCCAAGACATGTGACTCCTTTTAACATAACTCTTCCAAACTTATATCTGTCCTTTCCAGTCTCCACAGAACAGAAAATTCAATTCAGACTGTGCTAAGGTGAACAGGGCACCACAAGGCTTCTCTTTTCTTCAAATGCATCTCTACAAGCATGTGTTCAATTTTTGAAAAAATGAAGAAAATTTCAAAAAGGAATGCTCAAAATGCAGTTAAAAATATTGCTCAATTTCAAGGATTTTTCAGCAGCCATCTAGCAACCAAAAGAAAGCTTCTGCACATGTAACAAAACATTAATACCCTTGGATTACATCCCACCCATCTGCATCTACCATCATTTTATTGCAAAATATAAAATGCATGCAGCAACACTAGTACTGAATGACCGGAGCTAGTTCCCAAGACCATCTACAGAAAAATGATAAATGAATGTAGTGGGATCTGAATAAAACCCCAAAAGAGACCATGATAAGACAGGTCTGATTTCTCAAAAGTACTTGTGATCTGGGCAGAAGAAAATACTGTTTCAAGCTTAATGTAAGGTAAATAGAATAGCTTTTCTTGATAACTATTGTCATCGCACTTCTTATCATACAGTACTTGACTGCAGTTTCAAACGAGTCAATTAACCACATTTTCTACTATAAAGAGATTCCATGAACATAATTCACAACAGATTCCAAAGGAAAAAAACACTTTGAAAAACTGAAAAGGTAAAAACCTCGTGTATTTTCAGTTTTAAACAAACCAACCAAAACGTCAGCAGCAACAACAGAAAGACTGTGTAAATATTCAACAGTTTTAAACCACACTTTAACCCTTTAACAGTTAGGTTGCTGAGTTACAATCCTTACTGAAAGGCATTGCTCCAGGGAAGAGGGTAGTGTCTGAAAGGAGAGACATGGAGGTTTCTTATCCTTACTTCTCCATGTTGCATGGGCACAGGGAGAGTTGATCACATTGCAACCTTCACAATGCCTTATAAAAGGGGAATCAGGTTATTATTTCCTAAGCTATGTCATGGCTTCAAGGAGCTTGAGGAAGTGAAATGAACCTCTCCTATTTTGCATGTGTGGTGATGCTTACAGGGCTACTAAAAAGCAAAACTGACAAACCAAAGAATGTTCACCGCCTCTCCATCTGGCCTGACAGAAGGTAGGGTCCTACAGCAATATCTGAATTGTTAGAAAAAATATACCTGCCCTAGAGAACTGAAAAGTACCCACTGCAGTTAGGGCAGTCAGTATCTTAGCATGCAAAATCCTTTCTCATTGAAAACCCAATGACTTTCTGCAGAAGTCTAGAAAGGTAACTGAAGGCATCCAAGTTGGATGCCTTATATAGGTGATTATTCTTCTCTGTGCAAGCAAGCACAACCAATACACCCTCCCCCATAGTTTCAGGGTCTTATATACATAATTCTGAAAACATGGTAAAATCTAAGAATTAAACACGGAATATAAAGAAATATATATAATACCAACCACACGTCTTGGCTCAGTTGTGTCATCAAGGCCACAGAATGAATGCTAGTGAAAAAAACAAAAAAAGGAACAAAAACTATAACATAAGATCAAAAGAAAATGAGGAAAAAAAGAAAAGAAAGAAAGATGTAAGATATGTAATATGAAATCCAGTGACATTACAGCAGTTAGTCCTACATCTACATAATTGAGTTGATCTAAAAGATACAGTATACCGATTTTACTCTAAAGATGGGTAAAGGGGTATAAAATTCAGTACTTGAAGGCAGATTTATGAAAGGTAACATTTGTTGATCATGTAACTTCAGAATTAGTAGGTTTGGCTTTGTAACTCAGTTAAGGAAGTACTTGTAATTACACACCTGAAAGCTTTCCTGAAACGTGACTTACCAAGCTAAGAGCACAAACAAAACGCAACTTGTAAGGCAGAGAATCAGTTATGAGAAAAGCATGATGTGTTTAAACAGCACTTGTTCCTCATGTATCAAATAGTAGAATAAAACAGATTTTTACGTCATTCTTCTGTAAAGCCTTTTAGAAGGAGGGCTGGCTGCTGAAGTATCTATAGGGTAAAAATAGCCACCCTTATGTTCTTATTTCACTGAATTTTATATAAAACTTAAGAATAGAACCCATTCCTAAAGGAAAATAAAAAAAACATAATCATGACACAGTAACTCTGAGTAGTGCATTGTCCTCAGCTATAACCAGAAATGAGGCTGAGCTATAAATGCTGCCATTCCTTCAAAAGCATAAGACTTCTCTCCACAAGAAATTATTGTGCTCAGAGTCAGCAACATGTAGGTGTCAGTCTGCACCTACTGACATATTAAATCTTCAGAAGAACAATGAAGAAGAATTCATTAATTCTCCGGCAACACAATCTTCCTTTGGGCAATCAAATTCAGAATGGGATTTAACTCCAAGGAAAAAAAATATCAAATGTAATACAGATAGAAGGAAGCTCTCCACCCGTCCAGGAGCTGAAGGTTAATAGAAAATGATGAAGCTTTTTGGAAGTCTCCTGCCAGTGTAACATTAAGGCAAAGAGAATGTTAATCATTTTAACTCATTACTAGCTATCTGCTAAGCTTGTGATTAAGCTGTTTCTTTTCCAATTCTTTTCTCTCTCCATTCAACTGATGAGCCAGCACAGATAATGCTAACTTCCATTTTCAAAATTAGCAGTCTGTCTAATCCACTACTTTGTAAACTGTAACGGCAATGAATTAAG